AAAACAGCATTTTTAAATATCATTGCGGCAGCATCTAGATAAAGCTTCCTAACTCTCCCTGGACTTGGGTGTCCAACTACGGGGGTTAGAGTATTCTACCACCAAATCCTGCTGAAGGCCAACAAGCATCTCTCTCATACTTTTCAGACTATATGCATTTCGCTCAAAAATATGTTTCATTTTCGAACACATGGGATTTTCAATTCCAAATATATTTGTTTCTGAACTATTTTCCCACATTTTTCCGGTGTTTTGAGAAATTCTTTTACGCAGAGTAATACTTACATTTTAAATAGTAGGTCGCTGCACCCCTTAAGAATATGAAAACAAACTTAGTTTAATAAAGATGACACCATTTGAACAACTTAAAATTCTTGTCCTCCAGCAATAAATTCCGAAATGGCGCTAGATTATTTCCGAAGTGTCGAACCTCACCGAGGAGAAGACATATTAAGCTTTCCAACATAATTTTTTTCTTTTTCTTTTAAATTCATGCTATTTTTCCAAATAAAACTTTGTTAATTTTCCATGTCGAGTCGATATTCATTCTTTCCTTGCCTTCCCACTGAAACAACTTGTTAACACGTTAGCTTTCTAGCAAAATTAATCTTTAAAATAAAAAAGTAAATAATAAATTTTTGTTTTAAATACCTTCATTTGCTTATATATCATATCATATATATATTCAAGTACCGCAGTGGACTGATCGTTAAGACACGGTTCCCAGCAGATCACCGAAGTCAAGCATCACTGGCTGCGGTCAGTGTGCGGGTGGGTGACCACTTGGATCAGCCTGCGTAGGGACCGAGGGTGTGCGGTTGTAGTCCTCGTTAAACTGTTCTACCGTAAAGTGCTCGACTTCGCGCGCAAGCCGTCGGGCTACCGAAGCGGGGGTGCCATCCCCTCCGCAGAGGATCAAAATTGTGATGGCGTGTCTTCGGATCATCCTCAGGGATGTTTCCCAGACCGTCGCCAATAGCCCATTGTGCAGCTCTAGTGCGACGTAAATGAACAACAACAACAATATATTCATATATAAGCGGATTAAGCGTACGTGGGGCCCTTAAATTAATTTTTTCCCCGTATATTTTTTATTTATTCAATTATAAAAGTAATTATATATCTTTTCATTTAAGAAAGCATATTTAAAATTAAAATAAATAATTATAAATTAAATTTTACTTTATTTTGGTAAATTAGAACCAAAAAAATCATCGTATTTTATTAATATATATTTGAAATTGATTTTTTTTTAAAAAAAATCATTGTTTTTCTTAATTTTTAAATTTTATTTTCAAAAATTTTTTTTAAGGGGGTCCCTAATCATTGAGGGCTCCAGACCATGGCCCAGTCTGGCCTAATGGGCAATCCGCTCATGCTCAAGAGTATGACGAAGTAGTACAGCATTGAGAAAGTAATGCAGCAATGACTAAGTAATGCAGAATTAAGATGAGTTGTCTATCTTATCTCTTGACAGCGACGATGAATATTTCTGTTGCCTTCTATGCTGAACGTACCATACGTGCCCCACTTACCGTGATTTGTGTGATTTAATGTCTGCCGGGCAGATTTTAAATTATTCCTAAAATTCAATACAGAGAGAACTTTGACTAAAAAGCGGACATCTCTTAATAATAGTTAAAATTGAAGTCAAAGTTATTTTGCTCTGTCAAAATCTCGGGCACTAGGTACTATAAATTGAAAGAAACACATCGAAGAAAGATTTGAAGTTTTTGGGTCTAAAAGAAAACAGTTTAGAATCTGTAAGAACATTTATTTTTTGGCGGCATAGCGACCGGGTGATTGGGATTTTTAGACCATTGCGCTTCTCTGAATGGCATGAAAAAATTGCTTTTAACATTAACAATTCTCCAAGAAAAAGCAAAAATGAATCCATTAATAAAGTTGTGATCACAAGACAATTATTCGTTATCTTATAAGATAAATTATAGTATTGCATTTCTGTTATCAAAATTATGTTTGACCTTTTGCGTTATTTTCAGAAAAGAGGATGAAGGCTTGGTTTAGTTATAAACAAAAGGAAACGGACACTTAACTGTCGTCCAATCATGATAATAAGCTACCGCAAACGATATTTGATTGGTTGGAGTTAGAAATAAACAACAAAGCACAGTTTCAACAGTCTTTGACGTTTTTACTTTCATGAATATTTTATTTATTTATTTATTTTAAAGATCAGTTAATTAAAATACTTAATCGCCAGAAACTGAAGCATTATTTGGAATATTTCAAATAGCATTGGGAAGTTTGGGCTTAATTTCACAAATAGTTTTATGATAACCGTTTATGAAAGGAGGAACATCTCAAGAATAGAATCATGGTAAATTAAAGAACTATAGTTCGCAGCTTTAAATTATAGAATTGTAGTTAGCAATTCTAAAATATAGAATTGTAGTTTACAGTTCTAAATTATGGAATTACAGTTTACAGTCCTTAATTATGGAATTATATTTTGAAACTCTAAATTGTATGATTATAGTTTACAACTCGAAAGTATCGAATTACATTTTACAGTTATGAATTATAGATTTATAGTGCACAATTCTAAATTATAGAATTATGTTTTACTGTTCTAAATTATAGAATTATACTTTAATATTCTAAATTATAGTTTACAAATCTCAATCGTAGATCTATAGTTTACAGCTTATAATATGTAGTTCTTTTCAAAGATTAAACAGCTGCTTTTCTAAATTTCGATTTCACAAAATCCATGGAATGATTTCCATTTCGTGATCTGTAGCAGAACAATCGCCAAGTTTTTGCAGCTGCCGGGCAGCGGTCAGTTAGAAACTAAAAAAATAAAAGCATCGCAGAAAGGGACCAACTCGAAAGGTATAACTTGTAGCCACCCCCCGGGCATATATATACATGCGTTATTTTTTTTTCCTTCCTAAATTTACAAATTTAGAATCTATTTTTCACTTTGCCGATTGTAGTTCGTGTTACAGAACATCTACGGAAATGTCTTGACAGTTTATTCATAAATTAATTTTGATATTTGTTATAAATTCTACTTTCTGTGAAACTGTTTAAAAACTTATTTCATTTATTTTCATTCAAAATTGGTTTATGTGTGTATTTTTTTTTAAAAAAAACTTTTTCAATCAAATGCATGGTTTGATATATTGTAGAAATTAAGATCGTGAGATTTAGAATAGTCGTGATTTGAAAGATTGCAAATTTTCATGTTAAAGCTTAAGGAAACATAAATCAAGTATATTACAGTTCAATACATTATTTTTCAGTGAATTATTTCACTTGATATTATCATTAAATCAATTCACCTTTATAATGCTGAATGGATTATAGCTTACAATTCTAAATCGACGTCTCAAAATTCTTACATAACGAATCCCAAATAACGTAATTAACAGTATGTTTTACTATTTTCTTAAAACATAATGTCCGAAATTTGAAGAAATTATCAAAATTTCTATTATAGAACATTTTAAGTTAAATGTCACATTACTCGTCTATTTTAAAATAGAATTTTTACTTTATCTTGGAAATGTCCATTTAAGTGACTTATTGTGTGGATGTTTTTTACTTCATTTTTCTCAAATATTTTTTAGTTAATATACACAGGGTGTTTTGTAATGAATGTTCCTAGAATATATTTCTAGAAAGTTTGCCAAAAATGAATTAAAAAATATTCACAATAAGAGTTAAAACGTAATATATTGCATATACAGGTTCGAGCCTCTAATAATTGCAAAAAAAGGCAATCATTTGCTCAGAAATACTTAATTTAGAAGAAAGATAACTCAAAAAATTTCAATTAATTTAACTTAATCTTTATTTTTTAATTATTGCATTAAAAATGATGAGTTTCAATTTTTAGCATTTTTTGTATACGTTGCACGATGATCCTATAGTGTGTTTCTTCATCTCTTAGTCATAAAGCAAAATCCACAAAGACTTTAATTATAAGATATTTATTTGCTTTAAAATTGTCCAAAATGTTAGTTAATTCAAATTTTAACCTTCCTTAAAATTTAACTTGCAATTAAAGTATCTATTTCAGAATAAAACCATTTATATTTTTACACAGACAAATAAAAAAAAAAATCGTGCTGTCGTTGTATATTATAATAACCCTAGCAACAATTTTACCTTGGCCTCATCTGGGCTAAAAATTACCTTAATATGGTTCCGATGAGAACATGCACTGCTAGACCAATACTGGGATGTCTAGATCTCAGACAATTCTATATAGGACCAATATCGGAAAAATAACGGTACTTTGAACTCTTATTGAGTCAAGATTAATGAATATTGGTCCAATGTAAGCTCAAATTATTTGTCTTCTAGGGTAGTATCGGATGCTAGTTTAAAGCTGTGAAAAGGTTTAACAAAACTTGTCGGTTCATTACCGAGGAAAGCGGGATAAGATTAAAAATACCAAAACCAGTTAGGTTGCCATTGGTGGCAGTTAGAGACTCCTTCAAATTAACAATTTTCGCCTTTAAATAAATACACTTTTTAAACTTGATTTTTGACAAAAATTCCTTCAGGGGATAGAGAGTTCATCTCCCAAATGAGATGAGCCAGGTTAGAATCATAGAGGTGGCTTCCTGATAAGAATTCTACTCCCGGCTAGCACCGATCACAGTGCTGTCGTAAGGCATCCTACATGGTAGACAGATCATGGGTTAGAGTCGCCTTGCCGCCAGTCCAACAGTCGAAGGATTTCGGGGTTTTCCTCTCCACGTAACGCAAATGCGGGTGAGTTCCATGTAGGTTAGTTCGTCCCAATGCTTGATCCAGGAGTGAGTTCCTTGTCTTCTGGGCTGGGTTCAATTAATTATAAGGCTAAGGATTTGAGGAATAACATTCGTAAGCTCAGAATTGGGTCATCTGTTCAACACCGGTTATAGAACAAAATGCATATTCAGCTCAGTGATTATGGAACACTTTGTTGATATATTTATTGAAATGTATTTTAAATGGAGTGCTAACATTGTATTTATTTTCAGTGGGGTCCATAACAGAATGTGAAAGATCAAAATATTTGTGTTCCGGTGCCTGTCCACCTTTACCGCAAGGTATTCAACTGAAATCAGAATCTATCTGCCTGAGAGACACAGATACCGATGCTTGTGTTTGCTGGCTCAATAATCCTTCTAGTCAACTCCAAAGCGTATTCCGATGTGAAGCTAAAATTAACGGTAAGATTTAAATTTGTTTCGTCTCTTTTAAGTGTGCACATCTTATTATCTTTGCGAACGATAAACTATCAGCAATTTAAAAATTCTCCCTAATGCTATGCCAATGAGTTTTTGGATTCTAATTCAAAATATCGCTCGAAGAACTACCGTATCGTATCTGGAAGAGGATGAAACATGGAAGTGTTCTCGCCAAAACAATATACAATCGTATGAAGCTGCCTCTATCCAATTTCTGTGCAGTTCTGTATTCAACAGGATTTCGTTCGAATGAGATTCTGTTCGGCAAGATTCTGTTCAGTTAAAGGCTGAAGAATCTCTGTCCGTAGTTAATATGAAAGTAGTTATAATATCATACGATATTTTTTTCCGCTCTATTAACAAAATATCGTATCGTAAAATCTTTTGTTACAGTTGCATAATTTATTTATTTTTTTATCCGTATTTTTCGTAAATACCGATCAGTGGTTACTGTGCTCGACTACGGGGCCAGTGGTTGTGGGTTCTAATCCCACTGTAGGCATGGATGTAACTTTCTCTCTCCCTCTCTGTTCTATGTCCTTTCTTCCGTGTGACTGTGTGAATGTAACCCGCCCTATGAACGGGTTTGTGGTTGTATGACGTGGGCGACGCTACTCCGCTTCTGTGGCTTAGCCACAGGTGCCCATTAGGTAACGGTAAGAGAGTAGTAATTTTGTCATTTCTGAGACCAATAGGAAATAGACCCAAATGCTTGCCATTTAAAAAAAAAATATTTTCCTTAAATATTAATTCACGCAGACATCGGAAAACTCATAGGAAACAACAGCAATATGTTCCACTTCCTAGTTATTTAAGCTTTATATGTACATTTTGATGCATTTTGTTCATAAAAAGCCGAAAATTTTCTACAATATATAAAACAAACAAAATGCGAAATTCAAAACGTTAGTTAAATATATGGTATACAATCAGTATGAAACATTTTATTCATATATCATATAGGAACTTCAGATTCATAAGTGACTTAAGGAACTTTGTAGAGTATATAAAACAATAAATACTCAGGATTTTAAACGCAATAAGTCAACGATATGATATTTATTTTGTATTAACTGGAAAGGTGAGAGAAAGCAAAATAGTTATCCATTGAAACGTGCTAATGTGATATCTAAATATGCTAAAAATGATATCTAAATGTGGTCTAAAATGATATCTAAGTGGGATACCTAAATCTAATTTAAAATTTCAATTTTGTAAACTTATTATTTATGTGTTCTTTATAAAACAAGTAGTTTTTTCCTCCTTTTTTTTTTTAAAAAAAAAAAGCTCTAAAGACAATGCTTTCCTTTTGTAACAATTGTCAACATTTAATAAGAACACAACTGTGAAACGAATGTTATACTCCGAATGAAAAGTTATCTAGTCACAAAAATTGGAATAAATCAGGAATGTGCTAAAACTGCATGTTTATTTCTTTTTCTTTTTCAGTTACACCGTTTATTTAGTATTATTTTTTTTTAAATGGAACGTGTTGTTTAGTTTTTAGTACGTTAACCTATGAAAAACCGTAGTGGAACAGCATGTTAAGTGAAAGTATACTCAATTTTTCCAGTCCCAAAACATGTTTCAGTTCAACGTTTATTTATTTAGACAATTGCTTAAATAGAAGAAAATATGATGTGAAAAGCTTGTTTAAATAAACAGTCTTATAAGCTGTTTTAAATATATGTTCAACTAAATTCTTGAATCATTTGTACTTATAAAGTAAGACGAGCAATGGCTGGATATAAAAAGTTAATGTCTGAAGAAACATATTTTAGTCATAGATTTTTGTTTATCTACCTTACAGAGGAATCTTATCAGATAAGTTAGTAAATCAGTTATTAATATCAGTCTATAAAGTGTTCAGATTAATCCTAGTGATTCGTTTAAGTACCAACAAATTGTTTCATTTCTTAAAATTATCTAGGTAATCTGCAAACTACCTAGATATTTGAATCCTTGCTGGAACAGCATCAACGTTTCGGTAAACATAAATTAACATAATCTTATTTGTTTTTCGCTATCCGGAAATTCAAGTTACTACAGCCAAATAATCAACACATGACAATCATAAATCACTTTAAAAAATATAATGCAACGAATCAAAAGGTTTAAAATTTTATTACAACTAGGGAACATTTTGTAAAAATGTTTTAAAGCACTTTATCGAATCACCATGGTTAATCAACTGACTAGCTAAATGATATGCATTTTTACGGCTTTCCAGCTTAGGCGGTAACAATATTCTCTTTTCAATCAGAAGTTGAAAGCATTTAAATATCTGAAAACATACCAGTAAGTATACAAGGTGTTAAATAATCACGATCCTGAATATGTATTTTACTTTATAACCGGCGTTGTTCCGCTGTGACTCAGAGGATAGAGCATTCGTCTCCCAATGAGGTTAACCGGGTTCGAATCCACCGATGGCTGGGCGATGCAAATTCTGCACCCAGCTCGCACAGTGCTGACATAAAAAATATCCTTAGTGGCAGACGGATCATGGAATAGAATCCCCTTGCCACAGACTTTAAGGAGTTTTCGTGGTTTTCTTCTTCATGTAACGCAAATGTGGACTAGTTCCATCAAGAAGTCCCCTACGAAGGCGAATACTTGGTCCAGGACTTCCCTTGTCTCTGGGTTGGGCTAAAATTTACAAGGCTAAAGAGTTGAACATTGGTAGACGTAAACTCAAATTTGGGTCTGCTGTTCAACAACGGTTATAAAATAAAGTAAAACCAGCGTTGAGTAGAAGACCGAATTCAGAGTTTACGCCTGTCTATTTTTTAACTCCGTAGCCTTGTTATTTTGAACCCAACCCCGAAGATAAGGGAACTCCTGGATCAAGAATTAGTGTGAACTAGCCTTCATGGAGGATTTTGTTAATTAGAACTAACTCGCATTTCGTTACATTGCAAAGAAAACCAAGGAAATTCCCTATGGTTAACCAATGAGCATATTTTATGTCAGCATTGTGGTCAGTACTAGCCGGGAGCAGAATAAATACCAACTGGCTACCTTTGGGATTCGAACCTGTTTTTCCTCATTGGAAGGACTGTCTGACAAACATGAGATGAGGATGCTGGTAAAGGAAATTCTTTAATATTATTTATAAAGCTAATTCTTTTGTGGTTTCTCCTTAATTTCAACGATACACTTTTGCCGAAGAATGAATAACACGTCTTATATACTAGTGAATTGGCATTTTATATATATAGTGGTAGATAAAAAACAATATCCAGTAATTAGTTGATTGTTTCGGTTTATAGCTTTAAATATGTTGAAAGAATTAATCATTGAAATTTCTTTCACAGGAAGTGCTGCGCACGTAATTTGCAATGCTCATGAAGATTGCTTCAACCCAGATCCAGACAGACCTGTGTGCATGATCATTCTTCAGTGCAACTGTCTCGATATTTGGTTTCCGAACGAAATATTAGACGACCGCTGGAAGAGAGTGAGAGCTATAATACATACCAAAGAAATATACAACTCACATAACGCAGACGGAAGTTCTGTTGGTAAATAATAACTTTTACTGTTTACTCTAAATTTTTAGTTTTGTACACAGATGGTGAAAACATAAGAATACAACAGCCATGTGTAGAGCATGCAACGGTCTGATGTATTTTAATCATTGGGTACGCAAATGTCTTGTTTGTACCTTAAGAATATTTTTCGTTTATAAGAAGGACAGAACTCCCTAACTTTTAATATGGTTTTTTGAAGTACTTTCTCCCAGGAAAATAAATAAAAGCTACAGTTTAAGCGCTTTATGCTGTAAGCAAAGTTATAATTTTAAACTATAAATACCATCTTGCCGAGAAAATTTATTTGGGCTTTAGAACAGACAAAGAACTTAAATGTTTTGGAAGTTATTAAATTTTTTTAAAAAGTCGCCAAATTGGCGACATTTTTCCACTTGGATAAAAATTATCGAAATCGTTGCCTTATTCTCAATTTTTTCAAATTTTTATGAGCCCAGATAATGTCGCATTAATGTGAAATTTTTAAATATTAAAAAATTAAACAGCAAACATTTTTCATTTTAGCAAAACTGCGATGGCTTTTCTCCATATTGATGTTTTGCTCCACTTTCTGAATAAGCACAGAAAGCGCTCGTTAAACTTTACTTTTGGAGAGGTTAAACTTGACTTAAATGGTAACTGTCGCAAACTCGTAGCAATTATGAAAATAGCATCTTATTCGCTAAAATGAATAATTTCATATGACGTCGAAGCTTTCGAAAAACAGTTTTTATCCATGGCGTGCAGAGGTGTTACGATGCTCAGAGCAACATTTTCGATTACATGTCTATGAATAGAGGAGTATAATCACTGCAGAGCAGAAAGCCATGAAAAAACAACCAAAGTCTATATCAGGGATGGGCAAACTTTTTTGGTCGTGGGCCAAAACTCTAGAAAAAAAAGTTTGGTGGGCCTAGTAAAAACTTCTAAAATAAGAATTCTAACTTATAATAATAAAGTAATAATAATAAATAAAATAAATAAAATAAAATAAAGTCAATTCATCATTGAACGCATGGCATTCTACATCAACTTTGTGTTTTTTAGTTGCCANCGCATTGATGTAAAATTTTTAAATATTAAAAAATTAAACAGCAAACATTTTTCATTTTAGCAAAACTGCGATGGCTTTTCTCCATATTGATGTTTTGCTCCACTTTCTGAAAAAGCACAGAAAGCGCTCGTTGAACTTTACTTTTGGAGAGGTTAAACTTGACCTAAATGGTAACTGTAACCATTTAATTGTAACTGTCGCAAACTCGTAGCAATTATGAAAATAGCATATTATTCGCTAAAATGAATAATTTCATATGACGTCGAAGCTTTCGAAAAACAGTCTTTATCCATGGCGTGCAGAGGTGTTACGATGCCCAGAGCAACATTTTCGATTACTTGTCTATGAATAGAGGAGAATAATCACAGCAGAGCAGAAAGCAAAGAAAAGGAAAACCTAAGCCTACATTAAAATTTCTTTTATGGAATGTAGGTAGAAATTATTTTAAAGTTCCGAAATTTATAACTTAATATGTTCTAAATTGTTTTCTTTTAAATGCAAAAAGCAATTAAATTGTAATGACTGTTAAATTTATTTGAAAATCGCATTCTAATCTTCAGGTGTTTACAAATAAGGAAGGCACACTTTTCAGCCAAAACGGAAACATTTTTGAGAATTGGTTCTTAGCCCGATTTTCTGTTTTCGGACATCATTGGATTACAGAATTGTTGGAATTTTATCGAAATTCTCTTTGATTTTGCAAGTGATATTTTATGCGCCTTCTAGAATGTTCCTAAGACTTCACAGGTTTGTCTCAGGTTTAACATCCCTCCAAAACTGTCTCCCATTAGGGATGCCAGAAAAGTTATGAAAATTATTTCCAGCCTTAAGTTTTATTTTATTTTATAACCGACGTTGAACAACCAACCGAATTTTCAGTTCACGGCTACCAATGTTCACGGCTTCCTTGTAATTTTGAACCTAATCCAGAAGACAAGGGAACTCCTGGATCAAGTATTGGGAGAAATTTGCTTTCGTGGAGGACTTTTTGATGAAAATCTGCATTTGCTTTACACGGAGAGGAAAACCACGAAGACCACCAACAGTTAGCCTCACGGCAAGGGGACTCTAAATCATGATCCATCTACCGCTTGGGATATTTTACGTCCGCACTGTGATTGGTGCGAGCCGGGTGCGGAATTCGAACCCAACAGCCATTGTCGGGATTTGAACCCAGTTCACCTCATTGGGAGGTGATAGCTTTATCCCCTGAGCCACCATGTCTCCAGCTTTAAGTTTAAAAATAGGGAAATAATTATTACTTGCTGTGAGCAATATGTTTCCTATAGTTGAAATTTATTTTTCGTGTAGTGGATTATTTTTGCCCAATTTACAGCAACTAATTATATAGTAGGTAAATTTTGCGCTTTTTGTCGTTTTTTAGGTATTCGAAATTTTTTAATATTCTTTAATGTCAGTAAATGAGCTTATTCGAGCTAAACAGAATTGATTCTTATACACAATTTCCTCCTTATCTTTCTCTTGAAAAACTGTCCTATTCATCTGAGGTAAACATCCGTTATCTCTCTTCTTAGTTCTAGATTAGGGATGAAAAATTTATGACTGATTTTTTTTTAAAATGACCTCAAACGTTTCGGTGGAGATAATGACGTGATCTAATTTATTTTTAATTATCGTTGCGAGCTTTAAGCTGCCCAGGGTTTCCATAAAATCCGCAAATTCTGCTAAATCGTTCAAATGTTTTATGAGGTATTTAGAAGTATTCGCGAATTTCATGCTGTGAATAATCATTGTATGAATTTTCGAATAGTTATAAAGAACCCAACAGACAGCTTCAAATATATATATATAAATATATATATTATAAATCATAATGTAATTTTTTTTTTGTAATATCGATTTATAACTGTGAGCTTAAACAAAACGATAGTTGTTGGTTTGCCAGTTTTTTATCCATTCAAGAATTTTTGGAATCATTTAAGATCAAGTACAAGTGAAAATGAACAACTCTTACAATGATTGCATTCTAAATCAACGTTACTATAAAGTATTCTGTCATTTTTTAATAAAATTATCTCTTAGAGATGTATGTGACAATACGATTTTTTGTTATTCATTAGAATTATTTTCTATAACTTGCATTTAAATAAACGCGTTCTCGCAATAGCTGTTGTGTAAAGGGGAGCATGGATGTCGGGACCAACGATTTTCGGAACCAATGGCATAATGGTTGCAATGCGGTCAGCATTGCACACCGATCGCCTTTTACTTTGCCGACAAGATGGTATACCCATCGGCTTGTAACTGGGTTCGCTTTGAAAATGCTACTGGGTAGAAAAAAAACCCCACTACATCACAACAACGCCTTAGTGTCTTAACCATCTCATACAACTGACCCATTCGAACTGAATTCAAATAATTGATATAAATTTGTCTGTCATTTGTTAAAATATTTGTAAAACTTTTTTCATTTCATTCTATAACGTCGTACTGTAGCCGAAACGATAAATCAAGCAAAAGTGCTTAATGTGTCTCTAGATTATGTATGTAAAATAAATAAGTAAATAAAATTATTATGTATATAATATCCAATTTTCGTATTAGCCAATTTTCAAAAGTCTTCGCCAAATGCAAATCTCAACAATTTCTTATGATTAATCTTTGTAATCACAATAAATACAAAAAGGATAAAAATAAAAGAGGACTCGTCTTTCTTTTTCCCTCCCCAGATTTGTATTGAATTTTTTTTCTCTTGATGTCCTTTTTACAAGCTAAAATCACTATTTAACTCGCCGAAAAGTTAAAGTTTAAGTCTATTTCTTAGAAGTTCAGGGTATGTTACTATATATGAGAACACAAACGATCTCTGATTATTTTTCCATCTGTCAAAACAGAGACTATCTCTGTTTGCCTTACTATTTATCAAAGAACTCGAAGAAAAAAAATTGAATTTTGCAATGATATTTAAAATTGATCAGTTACGGATCAGTTAAAACTTTTAATGTCTATCAACATTTAAATTAAAATTCGTAAAAATATTTGTGAAAATTTTCTTTCTCCTTAATTTATTTATTTTTTAATTTTTAATTAGAAAAAGTGCAAGAGGAAGTTAGAGAATTTAGACTGAAACATCTGCTGTTCCTATTAGGTTTTGTAATTGCTCCCTTACTGTGCTGGTGTCTCCTGTAAGTATCAATTAATTCATTACTTTTTAAACAATTTTATTATTTATTAATAAACTGTCTCAGCTTTACCACTTAGGTCAATTTCACTTGACTTCGATAAAATTGTTATATTTAATCTGATTACACCATTTTAACTAAACAATAGACTTAAAAAATCATTGCTTTGAATTTTTTATAAAATAATATATATATATATATAAATATCTATAGTGAGTTTTCCAGCTCTTGATGCCTTCCAAATTTTTACTTCAAAATCTGGAACGATATGTATTATTAACATGAATTATATAGGCATGTATTTATACAGACAATATATAAGCTTGTATTTATACAAAAGAATTTTANTATGTATGTATATATATATTGGAAAATTAATTATAGAGTATGAAATAATGCAATGATTTTTTCTCTCCGAAATTTCAACTGCTGCAAAAGTTGCAATAAATAATACAGAGCTGTCGAAATTTTGTTGTATCGAAACATTTTTTAATACAATTTGAGCTTATGTATGCGTGTTTTAGAGTTCGAAAATTATATTTCCGACATGGGCATTTATAATTTCCGATAGAGCATGCATTTTTTTACCCTGAAATGCACGACGTGTAAATTTGAATTTAATCAAAAATACCGTAAAAAACTGATAAAGTATTCAGCATATTTTAACGATAGATGTCGGATGGGAACTTAAAAATGGAGAAGAATATCGATTAGATTTGACGAGACCGAAATATTATTGAATTTAATTACATAAGAATTTATTAATTAAGTAAGCTTATTCTTTTTTTATAGCCCAGACATGCTAATTTTTAATTAATCGCTACTTATAGTATAAATGTTTAATTAATTAATCAATAAAAAAGTTTACAATATCGTTATATTATAAAGGGCCTAAGCCTTGCTGATAGTCGGTAATAATTTCTATAATATTGCATCTTTGTTGATAATAATGCTGTGCATTTACTCCAGCATTTTCTTGTTAAAAGTACTGATTTTTTTTGTTTTGATATCAACATTTACTATTTTTATTTATAGTTATATGCATTAATGAAGATATAATGTTGTTAAGACGTCGTAGAGACATTTCGAACCTTGTGTGTGTGTGTGTGTTTCAACATAAATTGCTAATGTTGTTAATTTCATTATCTTTTGACTGATTAATAACAAAAACATTAATATGTTTTCATTTAAATGTTATCAATATAGATGTTTGGGCATGAAAAAGCTTCAATCAGGCATGTATCTTTATAGATTAATATATCCGTTAAGGCATATTAAAGTTTTGAGACATTTCGAACCCTGTCGTGTGTGTTTTAACAAAAATTTTATTATTAATTTTAAAGACTACATAATTCGTGAATTAAATCTAGGATGCCTGTTAGAGAAGAATTAGGAATTTTTATATCATAACTATTCAAGCCAATTAAATAACTTAGTGTAATAAAAGTACAATCTATACATATTCTAACATTCTGACGTTTCAATACATTCTAGATTTATTCAATGGAATCTTAAAGAATTTAAAATAAATCGAAACTTCAAAAAGCTCTGGCGTAACTACCACTACAATTATTAAATATCAATTCAGTAGTATATAAGAATGAAAACTCGATTCAATCTTGGGGTACCTTTTGATAGAGAAAGTTTAATACTGACGAAAGACCCTTCCCCACATTGGTGACCCGGACGTGATACGATCTCGCTTTCTACGATGGATTGTCCACATTGAGCAGTTAACTAGCTATTTGTGACTGCGTTATTGTCCTCTTCGCGCTGTTGCTTCCCAGTCTCATTTAGACACAGCGGGATCCTGCATACACTCAACTGCTAACAGCAAAACAGGAGGGACCACACACACAATCGTGATCTTAATACAGCTCTCACCACAAGCGTTTAAAATCACGAGAATTTAATAAAGCTATTTTTGACTGCGTTATCGTCCTCCTCGCGCTGTAGCTTCTCAGTCTCATTTACGCACACGACTTCTAACAGCAAAACAGGAGGGACCACACACGCAACCGTGGTCTTAATACAGCTCTCACCACAAGCTCACAAAATCACGTGAACTTAATACAGCTCTCCTGGCTTTTCGCAGATACTGCAACTAGTGGTATCCGTTCATATAATTCTATCCCAGATAAACTTCTGGTGGGGGAGTATTGTGGCGTAACTACCACTACAATTATTGAACATCAATTCACTAGCATATTAGACGACATGCTAACTCGACCTTTAGATGAAGGTTGAGTCGATAACTCCTCTTCCCACAAAGCTATTAGCAAAACACATTATTTTATGTAAAACATTACCTAAATAAATTAATGATATAGACCAGAAGCCGCAGCATAACACTTTCGTGAACCTGGAGATTTCAGTGCATTCAAATTTTTCATTTTAAAATAACATAATAAGAATTTTTATCATATTTGTTGTAAAACAATATAATCTTATCTGTTCTAACGCATTATTTCTCGAACAGGAATTTTTTCCACGAAGGAAAATGTCGTAAAAAGGCACCTAATCGACCAGAGGCACAGCCAATTCCTACATCTCGATGCTCAACCATTGACAATATGAACAATAATGATGATTCTTGTGGTGAACGTAGTTGCGAGGATGTGGTTGTGGTACCCTTATCGCCGCCTGCTCGCTCATCATTCATCCGTTGTTCCCAATCAGTTCCCTCACTACTCTCATCTGCTCCTGAAGATTTAGAGAACAGTCTAGAGAACACAACAGCCCAACAGCAAACACTTCTGAAATTCGAAAGTCCTCCGCCTTACACTGAAACTATGGAAAGAACGGTAAGCCATTGCTTAATTTATTATTCTTAAACTAAGGCAGTGGTTCCCAATTTTTTTTTCGGATATGGAACCCTAAATGATCGATCATCTTTTGGCGGAAACCTGATAATTAATAAATCAATTTATAAATATATGAAAATATTTATAGATCAAAATCTTGTTTAATTTTTTTAAAACTATTTAATGAATGAATAAGAACCGCGATGGCTGAGGAGGTAGAGCGTACGCTTTCCAATGAGGGGAACCGAGTTCGAATCCCAGCGATGGCTCGTCGATGCGAATTCCGCACCCGGCTTGCATCGATCACAGTGCTGACGTGAAATATCCTCAGTGATATCTCACGTCATATCACGTATCCTCTATATTCTTTGGACGGATCACGGGTTAGAGTCCTCTTGCCGTCAGGCTTACCGTTTGAGATTTTTGTGGTTTTTCTCTTCATGTAACGGAAATGCGGGTTAGTTCCATCAAAAAGTTCTCCACGAAGACAAATTTCTCCCAATATTTAATCCAGGAGCTTCCTTGTCTTCTTCTGGATAGGGTTCAAAATCACCAGGATACATAGTTGAATATCAGTAGTCATAAACCAAAAAATTTGGGTCAGCTGTTCAACGACGGTTATAAAATAAAATGAATCAAAATTTTTTTAATTTTTTATCTTATCGTTTTATTGATATTATTATGTCAATATCAGAGTTAAATTTACAGGTCTGGGGAGGCAAATAGCTCTTGTCATTTGATTTCAGAGTATGTATAAATTGAATATACATGAGCTAAAATTAGGTTTTCAACGAAATAAGGACGAAAAAGAACCAAAAAAATCCATGAGTACGACTAATGGCCACACTTCCTCGAAAAAAGAAGGCCTCTGCACGAATAAATTTAGCAGTCCGACGTAACAAACATAAACTGCGCAGTGAGGAGAAATACGAAATTTGTCACTACGTACGGGCTATTAAACTGCGCAGGGAGGGAAAAATATGAAAAATGTCACTACGTTCAAACTACTAAAGGGTAGGATTTCTCGCTTATGGTAACCAGTGCGTAGGCCTTTTCTTTTCTAGGAGGTGTTGCTAATAGCGAGGCATATTTCTTCATTATTGAATTAGGTTATTTTTATTCTATGCAAAATACTAATCCAATTTTTTCATAATTGTGCACTTTTCATTATTTATTCAGTATGATTAAACTAAATGATTAAACTAATGAAATTATGATTATTAGAATTTTTTTAAATTTTGCTTTCTTTCTTCACTAGAATTGTAATTAAATAAATTCTTAAAAATAACGAAAATAATAAATAAATAATGGGTAATTACTCGGTAATGAATTTAATTACAGGTTTCAAAAATCATAAGTGGTAAAAAAAAAAAGTCATAACCCTCGGAAACCCTGTGACTCTTTCACGGAACCTTAAGCTTCCGTGGAATACGATTTGGGAACCTTGTGAGACCTTTATTCTCGCCATCTTGGATTTTATTTAAAATGTTTGATTTGCGTTTTCTTGATATATTTGGATGATATAATATTATTCGACAGAACAGTAACTTTCAAAAAAGCTGAAAAATAAAGGAATCACTTTTTTAGTTTAGGAGAAATAGAATTTTATTAGATTAGGATCTAATTTTTAGAACTACTATGGAGTTTTTAAGACTTTACGCAATAAGTTATGTGGGTTTGAGTTAATCATTTAAAACTACGCTCTTGTCAATTTTTAGATTTTTTAAAGTTTAATTTTAATGCAGTTTAAGTTGATAACCGATTCGGATGCTGCTAAAAATTTCTTTTCACATAAATCGCACGTACACAACGATACTTATCAAAAATCTAAAAACAGATAACTATAAACTATTTAATTACCTTTCAAAATTTGCTGATTTCAGAATTTTTATTGGTATAATTTTATCAGAAAAAATTAATAAAGAATGTAGAAGACCGCTCGATTGATTCCTGAAATTCTAATTGGGTGACGGCCTTGCATTTTACATGTATCGAAAGATATTTACCGAATGCAGCAAATACCAGTCATCAGTTTTTTCTTGAAAATTAAATATGAATTTTCCTCTTTTGTCTCCTCCCCCTCATCGACAGTTGCGCATTCGGCCGAAAGGAGAGAGTCCCTTTAAATATCGTACTGTCTAAGATTTTTAGGAGATTTGAATCATATTTTCGAGTGAAATTGCAGCAACCTCAATATGCTGTTAAGACGGACCCTATTGTTATTCCTCATTAAACCTCATTGCATGATTCGGTGGTTCAAATTAGCAAAAACATGGTTCATTTTATTACCTTATTTGGGTCGCATCAATATTGCATAATATTACCAGTCAAAGTACTAATATTATGGTTTGATGGCTCAATGGATAAAGCGTTCACCTTCCAATGAGGTAAACCACCGGGTTCGAATCCCAGCAATGGCTGATCGTTACAAATTCCGCATCCGGATTGCACCGACCACAGTGCTGACGTAAAATATCCTAGTGGTAGACGGATCATGGGTTAGAGTCCCCTTGCTGTCAGGCTGAACGTAAGAGGGTTTCGTGGTTTTCCTCTCTGCGTAACGCAAATACGGGTCAGTTCCATCAAAAAGCACTCAACTTTGGCAGCATTTCTCCCAGTACTTGATCCAGGAGTTCTCTAACCCATGATCTGACTACCACTGAGAATATTTTACGTCAGCACTGTGGTCGGAATAGAAATTATATATATATATATTTTATGTTATATATATATATTTTTTTTTAAAATAAATACCTTTTAAATAGAAACGCATATTGAAATGTTCATTAATTTTTTTTTTCATGATCTCCAAATCAGATATTAAAAAATCTTTAAAGTGCCTAATCTTTTTTATCTTTAAATATTTTCATCTTTATCACTTAATCATTTTTTTAAAATATTTTATATAATTAACCTTCATTTTGAATCTTGATCAATTGTTTATTTTAATCAAATATTTACTTAACAGTATACTATTCTTAGTTCTCAAAATCAAAATGAATTTATTAACCTTGAACTTTCAAAATTTATCTCTTTAATTTCCTTTTTATGTTATTCATGATATTTTTAAAAGTAGCAAAAAAATATTGATCTGCTATTGTAATAGTAGTTGATTAGTAAATATGGTTTAATCTAGTTCTAATCTAGCTATGTTTTAAGTTATTATCTTGTGCAAGTGTATAATGAGACGTTTTTTTTAATTACTTTTTTACTACTGCATGTATGAAAATAGTATCTACATTATTTCTCTGAGGAGACTACTTAGGCANATATATAGAAAATCGACATCAGTCTCCGATCTGGGTTAAAACTATTTTACCCAATTGATTGTCTATTGTCTATTTATTCTTTTATTGCTGCACTCTTAAAGTAAAACAATGTTTTTAAATTCTGACTATAAATATTTTTTCATAAGTTTACTAAAATTGTCATTTCAGTACATTGCTGATCTTGGACCTCCACCTGCGTATGAGGACGCCATTAGAGGGACGGACATTAATATTCAACAATTGTGGCAAACTGTATTCATTTTAGAACCCGGTGCTCCCGGTGGAGAAAGAACTTGAGGAAAATATTCCTGAAAAATATACTTTACAGAGATATAGGGAGAGTAGAACTGCTTGATGATATCGACCCGTGAACCAAGAGCAGATATCTACTGTGTTGTAAGAGCAAGATTATGCCTAGATCTGCTCAGCTTTGTTTTTAAATTGGACCAGGATTTTTATTATTCAGCTATTCGGTTCATATTTGTTAAAGTTGTGCCAATTTTTTTATAGTTCATTGAAATAGTCACGTGTTTCAAATCGACGTTTTAAATCATGATATTTTGTGTTAAAAGGAAATTTGAGAATAACATTTTTCGCCAAAATGCTTTACCGTTTCGTGTATTTGTTACTGTGAATGATCGAAATTGGTGGCTGTTGACTTCCACTGGAGAATGCTGAAAATCACATATTCCGAAATATATATTAGGTATAGTTAAGTGCCACTGAGAGGTATATATTTTTCCTGTATGCCATACATCAATGTTTTTTGAGATTCAGTGCCACTGACCGGTATACATTTGCCCGGTGTGCCCTACATCAATGTTTTTTGAGGTCAAGTGTCACTGCCCGGGGGTCATTTAACCGGTACTCCGAACACTGATGTTTCTCCTTATCTATTTTCAGCAGGTATGAAAATTTCGAATAAATATAGTAATATCAACGAATAAATTAATATTAAATCGTAAGTAACAAATATTCCAAACATTCACCAAAGCGAGTATGTGATTGTTGCCATTCACCGGTGAAAGTCGACATTCTCTTGATTTCGGTCCTTCACGGTAGCATATTCACAATTATTTTACTTGAATGCTCTTTCTTTTCAGAAAATACTTCTGTTAATACAGAAGTTAGCATGTATTTCCAGTATTTCGTATGAGCATAGCATTTCCTTTGATGTTTATACTTTAAAAAGAAAACGAATTAAAACTTTGTGGGTATTTAAAAAAAATAAACTAAGCTTTCAGTTTTTTTTTCTTTTGACATCGTGGAAAATTTAGTTATTTTAAAATGCACATATTTAAATATATTTGGTCAATTGGAAACTTTTTGGATAACAGAAAAATTTACATTATTATTTTTATCGTTTGATCGCGATTTTTGCAAAGAAGCATGCGTATTCCTCCGTTTTTCAAAATGTTAATTTCACTTCGAAAAACAATTAAGTTTTATAGCTTTTACTTTATTCTTCGCAAGTCAAAATCAGAAAAAAATATTTCGTTATCATGTCTTATAACTATACTAACATGTATTTGTGAGTTCATATAATTTTTGAAATACAAAACTCGTGCGATTATAGGAGTACAATGTGATTATCTATATGCAAGTCTTAACTAATTTCAAGACCAAAACACCTTTTTAAAACTTGAAATTCGTTTTAAGACCTAAAACAATCACTATTTTTCGATTTTAGGAAACTTTTAACAGCATCAGGTCAACAAGTTGAACTGATGGTTGGTTATAATTTTTAATTTGCGAACTATGAAACGTGAATAAACTCCTCAAATTTCATTAGTTTAATAACACTGCCAATTTATAAAACTGCCAATTTTAAAAGTGAATTTAGTAAAGATTTTCACGCAGAATATTTTCAACGCAGAATATTTTTTTAACCAAATATTAGGGACACATCAAAAATTTCATATAACTCTTTATACGTATCAACTTTAAAACAAGTTATGATAAATTTTTGAAATTTAATTAACAATCAATTCAAAAATTTATTAAAAATAGGTGATCAGTGAACACCACCCTTTGTATCTGTTTTTAGAATCTAAATTCAAAATAAAATTATAAAAAAATTTATTTGAAACCAACATGAATCCCAAATCATATTTAGAAGAGAAAAAACCTTATCAAAATCCAACAAATTATCAACAAGGAAGCCGATATTGAATACATTCAATCCTGCTTGACTGCCAAAGGTATTTAAAAAAAAAAAAGAAAAGAGATGCGAGGTTAAATTGATGTGAGGAAGATGTTGGGATAAATATTAATTTGTGACTCAGCGCGTGTGAACTTTTATTAGTTTATTTTTGAGAAAGATTCTGAAAATATATATTCGAGGTGGATATTACAAAACACCCTGCATTTTTAAATAAATTGGTTTCAGTGGGTGACTTGTATAAGATTATATGTTTACGCTATTTTCATACAAATGAAAACACTTTTTAAAAATAAAGAAAAAAGATCATTTCACAAATTATTCCTATTTATATGGCTTGTTTTCATTTTTTTTATAAAGAGTAAGTGAATAATCATTATATTTTTAGCAGTAAATATTCTTATGTAATTTATTTGACTGGAATAAAATTTAAGGAGTTTGTTTTACTGCTTAAAGGAAAATATATTAATGAAGTTAGCTTTTCTCATCCTCTGCTAGATATATTATCTTATTTTCGAGATAAATGTTGATAATATTTAGGAAAATCACGTTATTATCACATTATACATTTTTTTAACATCATTTTATTGTAAATAGCTGCATTGTCTTTCATTTGTTTTGTAATTATTTTGAATAAAAGTACTTTATTAAAGAACTAGAAAATTTCTTTCACATGCACAGTTAAGGAGCTGATGATAGCTAAATATATCGATTTCAAGTGTCATGCTTCATTGGAATGATAATTCCATGAAAAACAGCATTCCATGTAAACAACATTTTCCCCACATTATATTTTCTTTCTTAATACACTCTTATCTTTATTATTGCACAATCAACCAACTTAAAAAATAATAAAAAGAAAAAATAGAAAAATTATGAGAAACATTCCTTTTTTCTATTTGAATAATCAAAAATAGTTTTTCTCTTACATTTCTAATTACTCTAAATAAGATTTTATTTTGAAGAACTAACTAACATTTGCGTTACATAAGGAAGAAAATCACGTAAACCTCCCACGATCAGCCGGTTGGCGAGAGGATTCTAACACATGATCCGTCTGTCTTCCAATGGGGATATTTAACGTTCACACTGTGGATAGTGCGAATCGGGAGCAGAATTCGTACTAACTAGCCACCGCTAGGATTCAAAGCAGGGGGACCACATTGGAAAAGGAACGTTCTATCTACTGAGCCACCACGCTTCCAAAAATACAATTTTATTTTTATAATCGTTGTAGAACAATCAACCCTATTTTTTGGGTTTATGACTACTAATTTTTAACTCAGCAGCCTTTGTAATTTTGAACCCCATCCAGAAGACAAGGTAACTCCTGGATCAAGTATCGGGAGAAATTTGCTTTCATGGAGGACTTTTTGATGGAACTAACTGGCATTTGCTTTGCAAGGAGAGGAAAACCACGAAAACCTGCCACGGTTAGCCTGACGGCAAGGGGACTCTAATCCATGATTCGTCTACCACTGAGGATATCTTACGTCAACACTCTGGTCGGTGTATGCGGAATTCGTATCGACCAGCCATCAATTGGATTCGAACCCGGTTCACCTCATTGGAAGGCGAACGCTCTATCCCTGAGCCATCATGACTCCCAATAATGCAATTAGCACAATTTTATAATTTTTTTTTATTGATTGTTAAAGTAATTGTTTAACATTGAGATTTAAGAAAAAAAATGCGAGGGTGCTTCATTTCTTTGATGTAAGAGATATATTTCCTTTCCGTTAGAGATATTTAATTGTTAGTTGTGATCTTAAGAATAGGAATATAAATAACACACGGAGAAAATTTACGGTATTGACATTTCTGGAAAAAAAAATCAAAATATATGGTATTTAAACTATTCATTTGGCGATACTTCTCTTCAAATGGTAACGGAAATTCTGGTTTTCAAAATCATAGTTCTTATTAAAACATATTTCGCAAAGAATACAGAACAGAAAAGAAAATTTAACAGAATAAATGGTTTTTATTAAATTCTCGAAGTTATCATGATAAAAATACGAAATTTTATCACAATTACCAAATATAAAACAAGATTTTATTGTTAATTTTGAAAGTTTTGGAGTATTTTGATAAGAAAAAAAAAATCGCATTAACAGTAATATAAAAATTCTGTCTTGAAAAAATAATAATGATTCAATAAAACACCTACAAAATTTCACGTATTTTTTAACTTAGGTAATGCAAGAAAAAAAACACCTTTCGCAAAATCTGTATTTGGCGCACGTGAATCATTAGCAATTTAATCTGAAAATTCTTTGGTGTGAGTGATAGCGAATTTCTATTCTTAAAAGAAAGCATTCGAACTATGAAATGTAGTTTTATTTTACGATGCTCTTTATTCAGAAGGTAATAAAATAACAAATCTTAAAATGGATTATCACTTTCTCCAAAGACATTAATATTGAAGTATCAAGAAATTTCTCAGAATTTCAACTTTAAGACAACGCCTACCTTGCACTTAAGAACTACAATACAACATCGGCCAGGAAGTAACAAAGTATTTAATTAACGCTGTTGTTAAAAATAGCGCTTTAGAAATATACAATTACGTTTTTATTGTGAATAAATTATGAATTAATGAAGATGATATTTAATACCCATTATCTTTCAAGTCAGCTGAGTCGCAGGTCATTTGTTGCTTTAAATGAATTGTTTTTATCGTGTCAATGACATTTTAACAAGATATTTTATGGGATTGTTTAAAAATAATTTCAAAATAAAAGTTTAAATTTACTGACAGAATAACATGATTGTACATAAAAAATAATACCTTTAAAGTTATTTTTATAATTAAATGTGAAAATTTAAAGAAAACAGTTTTGCTGTGCATTCAGCATGTTCCATTAAAGTTTATATATTGTACAAGACAATTTCGAAAGCTGATTTGACCTGGTCGCCAAAGGCGGCTAATAAAAAATAATTAGAAAAAATTATATTTATATAGCCATTGAAACATAAGCATTGTAATTAAGATCGAACGTCTATAAAATAGGATAGAATGTCTGTATCAAAATCGACGAAACAAATTAGTAACAGGACGGAATCGGTAGGGTTTTGAAATGGCAACGGAACAGAAATAGTCATGGACCATAAAATGTTACTTTCATAATTGAATCGGCAACTTAAAAAAAAAATAAAAATAAGTAAATAACGACAAATTTTTGGAATGTGAAAATGAATGCGTTTCTTAAAAGCAGAATTATCGTCTTCTTTCTGAAAGTTTTCCATCTGCTATATCATTTATTTCAATTTTTTTTATTTTTCAATAACTTATTATAGGCTGGAATGTTTTTTTTTAAAAAAAAGGTATTCATGTTAAAGAATTTAATAACTGGTTTAAATTCTTAGGATTTTAC